ATTTTAAGCACTTAGGCTGTTGAAATGTAATTTTTAAAAAAATGTATCTATTGATTTTAGAGAGAAGAAAGGAGAGGGAGGGAAGGAGAGATAGAAACATCAATGAGTCATTGATTGGCTGCCTCCTGCACGCCCCCTGCTGGGGATAGAGCCGGAAACCTGGCATGTGCCCCTGACCAGAAATCAAACCTCGATCTCCTGGAACCTAGGCCAATGCTCAACCGCTGAGCCATGCCCAGCTGGGCGAAATGTAATTTTTTTGGTTTTGCATTGTGCCTACTTTTTATTAGTCTATTGGGGGAGGTGTTCATGCTTTTTTTAATCTTGTTTTCAGACCTAACATGCTTGACACCAAAAAGAAGGTAGTCTTCATGCTAATGAATAAATGTTTTGATGGTGAAACTTTAGCTAATAGCTAGTATTATACTTTTCATATTTAGAAACGGATTTAAATTCTAGTGTCTGTGATTAGATTGAAAGTTAACTCTGCTAGACAGGACACATGACTTCTTCTTCTTCCCTGTAATTTAATTTTGAGAATTCATTTCGTTTTTACACGTTTTTCAGCAGAACTTGAGCATTACATTGTGTTTTAGTGGGTTACAATCTGTATAGTTGGTAATGGGTTCCAGTAGCACTCTCTATATTGTTTGTTTTCCTTTCTTTTATTTATTAAGAAGGACACTGGTATAGTGTCCTAATCAAGGCAATAGCTATAGGAACCAGAGCAAGCTATAACCTCAGGACCTGAAATTGCCGTCTATATGCCAAATCAGCTTTTTGCTTTCTCTGTCACCCAATGTGGTCTCCTTTTCTTTGGATTCACCATGTAATTTCAGGGCACGTGCCTGCCAACAGCTCTGAGTCGCATCCTTATGGGTCCTGATTAGGAAGGAAAAAGTGTTACTTCTAGCTTCAATTTGAAAAATGTAGGGCAAGTATACCTGAACAAACTGATAAAAATCAGGTCCTGGCTTTGGTTACTTTCCAACTCTTTTTTCTTTTTTCTTTTTTCTTTTTTCTTATGTATCTTTATTGACTTCAGAGAGAGGAAGGGAGAGGGAGAGGGAGAGAGATAGAAACATCAATGATGAGACAGTCATTGATTGGCCGCCCCGACCGGGCATGGAGCTTGCAACCCAAGCATGTGCCCTGACCAGGAATCAAACCCCAATTGCCTGGATCCTAGTTCGATGCTCACCCGCTGAGCCACGCCCGGCCAGGCTCTTTCTAACTCTTTAAGCTAATCACTGAGACTGAAGGAACAAATTCTATGATCAGCCCTGATTAATTGGGTTTTGGTGGCTGACAAATCACCCAATACTACTACAATCACATGTTTGGAGTAAGGGAAAAGTGTTTCTGTGAAAGTAAGGTAAGATGGGTTATTGAATAGGCAAAATGTCTGCTACATAGAAGAACAATCTAAGAAGACTCCTTACTTTTTTTTTGCTAAGATATTATATCTTCTCATTTGCTTGTGCTGTGGTCATAATATCATGACAGTTACTTGTTATATTAGAGTTAAGTGCTGGTATCTGATTTTAAAACCTTAAAATAACTGAGGTAATTTTTCAATACTCAATTTAAAACAGATTTTAGTACATAAATTAATTGGCCTGATTTTAAATCTTTGATTATTACTTCAGAGGTATCTTGATCATACAAAATGCATTTAGAAATTATCTGAGCAATGAGAGCCTACAGTTATGTGAGTAAAGAGTTGAAATTCATTGCTAACTAGCTGAAGTTTTACCTTTACTCTAAAGGAGTGATAATGCCAACATACAAAGGCTTAGTGATTTATAAATATCAGTGTGCAGAAAAACAAGAAATAATTTCTTAATGTTCTTAATTAAAATGTGTAACTTTCAAGTAGGATACTGATACAGTATTCTAGGTCAACTTTATATATTCCTGAACTTTTCATTTGTAACGAAGTTGTTTTAACATTACTTATAGGGTACTTTGTTAAACCAACCATCATTAGATTGGTTTTTATTTAAAAATAACTGCTGGGATATTTTCTTCAGGTAATTTTAACAAATCCATTTATTAATGGATTTGTTAAAATTACCTGAAGAAACATAATGTATTCAGGGCATAATTTGGGATAAATCAGAACATAATGTATTCAGGGCATAATTTGGGATAAATCAATGTAAGAAACTCATTTTTGATAATAATTGAATTCAAATGTTTACTGGACCTTTTTAGGTAGAACCACATGAAATTTGAGTTTCTGTAGTTCAAAAATGGTTAACTATTACTTATTTTATACAACTCAAGTTAATAGCATGGCTTCTTTAAAACCCCACCTATAAATATTCCTTGAATTGCTGACCTTGTGTTATTAATGTTATAACAGTATAGTTGCTAGACAACTGACTGTTAAAGACAGCTAATCATAAAGATTCATTGCATAGGCAAAAGATTTAAATGGGCTAATGATTTAATATGTAGCCTATTTATGAAGCAATTTTGCTTTTTAATAAACAAGTTGAGTGCCTGTCTAGGAAATCTTGTCTTTGGGATGGGTGGTCTGCTTGTTGTTGGGTATCTAGTACATCATGTACCAGGTTGTGTGCCAAAGTGCTTTAACTCTCATTCATCTTCTCCAAACTTCTTTACAAATAGACATTGCTATTTTAGAGATGATGAAATAAGCCTAGGAAATAGTGAGTCTAAGTTGAATTAAAAGTGAGACTTCAAAGTATTCAAGGAGGACATGATGTTCTTATTTCAGAAGCTATGTTTTGAGCATTTGAATTGCATATGTAAGTTTGTATTTGGGTTTTAGTAGCATTTTTGAAAATTTACATCTTTATCTTTCGTGGGAAATGGGGAAGAGATGGTTTTGAACCAATTAAGTTTTTAACCTTAAAGTAAACTTTATGGATCCTTACGTTCCTTAAGGAAAGAGGGAATTAGGCTGCCTAAGTTACCTTCTGATTTCTTTTTGGTGGGCCAATTACACAATAGAATTTGTTGTTTAAGTTTGGAACATAGGAAAATTCTATGTTCATAAAGACTATTCTTGATTCTTACCTACAATAAAGTATGTATACCTTGAGATGGTGTTACAGTAGATGCTATTATAATAAAAATGATTCATCGTGGAATGCAAATAATTGTTGTATAAGACTTGATCTGGCCTGTGAAAAAGTCATTTGCTCAATAATGGATAGTTGATTAGTTCAAGTTACCAGTATACTGGTGTTTACTCAAAAAAACCCCACATAGTTTTCAAATACTTATTTCAGTGGAATCTATATTTTGTAAGGGGTTTTTTTTTTGGTTTTTGTTTTTCGTTTTGTTTTACGCTGAAACATGGTTTCTTTTAATCTGTTGTTTAACTCTGAGATAAGAGTTCCTATAATTCCTACTGGTCAGAATCAAAAGTGTTTGGAATGAATATATGTTAAACATACGAGGGTATATTTATGTAGGCAAGTGTAAGGGTCTGTTCTGATCTGATCTTACATCATCCTAGCATTGTGAATCCTGGGATCTCTCTGGCTGTCTTGATTACCTTATAAGCAATTGTGGTATGAGTTTCAGAAGCAAATTGGCAGAGTGTATCAGGACAATTTTTTTCCAGTTTTATTGAGATATAATTGGCATAAAATGCTAGTTTTTTATGTACCCATAATAATTTGATCAATGTATATTCCCCCCTCCCCCCAAAGGCTCCTTTTAGTACATCTTTAAGAATTTGAAGTTTAAGGGAGAATGAGTTATCAGAAGGCTTTGGGCAGAGGAGAGACATGGGTCCACTTTACTTTTTTTTAATAATATATTTCAGAGAGGGGAAGGGAGAAGGAGAGGGGGAAACATCAATGATTAGAGAGAATCATAGATGGCTGCCTCCTGCACAACCCCTACTGGGGATTGAGCCTGAGGCCCTAGCATGTGCCCTGACCAGGAACTAGCTGTGACCTCCTGGTTCATGGGTCAGTGCTCAACCACTGAGCACACTGGCCGGGCTGATCAATGTATATTTCAAAATGATTACCGAAAGGACAATTCACTGATTTTTATTTATTTATTATGGAGTGAATCCAGACATCATTCATGAGCAATTGGCCGTTTTCTGAAGTAGATTTTAACCATATGATAAAGGCAGATATTTGCTCTAGTTATCTCCCTACGGTGTTGTATATTCCCTGAATTTTCTTAGAAGCCCATTATTATCTTATGGGTCTATAAATTTCTGTAGGGATTTATATGTAGTACATAGAGATACAGCTATATCATCTTAAATTTTTTTTTAACCTAATAAGAAACAACTTTATTTTCTCACTAGGTAATCCATATTTGTTATGCACAAGTCATGTAAGGGCTAAGTACATATTTTTTGTAAGTATAAAAGGTGGAATTGTAAAAACTGCATGTTAGTTGATAAGAGCAGACTTTTACCTAGAGAGGTAGGTTCTTCTAGAGTTGTAATTTTACTCAGTATTGAGTAAAAGACAGGGTTGTGTTGAGGGGAAAAGGGGATCAAACCAAAATGGGTATCTCCTACCCCCATAAGAAATTTTTCAAGTGGAAAATGAGGTCAGTGAATAGTTTGGTTCAGAAGGAACAGAGGATTTAAGACCTTAAAAATGAGGGCCTCTGAGATAGTCTGAAAATTCAGCAAATTACATGAATCTTGAAAAGTGCCTTATCTAGGTTATTAAGCTATGAAAATATCTGATTACAATTTTTTTTATTTGTAAAAGGACAGCTGTTGTTCAGGTAATAAAAATTTTCATATTGATGTGTGTATATACTTTTGTGAAACCTAGCCAGATGGTTGTCTTGGATGTGTCCATTAAATAACTATACCTGTCATGTCCAGGAATCTGGGGTAGGGTTACTTAAATGTTTTCCTCTTCTAATAGAGCTTACTTATTTTAATGTGAATAGTGATTGATTATATGTCCCTAAAAGAATGAGGTGAAAATGAAATGGAAGCAGTTGACTCTCTTTGCTTATCATTTTTTGCTTTGGTGTAGGAACTTAGTGATTTGGCCCGTGACCCTCCAGCACAATGTTCTGCAGGTCCAGTTGGGGATGATAGTAAGTAATTTTCAAGTTGATTGTTATGGTTAATTTCATAAAAGCTTGTACATTTTTAGATAATAACAAGAGTTTTTCTTTTTTTAGTGTTTCATTGGCAAGCCACAATTATGGGACCTGTAAGTATTAATAATAGAATTTAACATTTTTTGCTTTTTAATTGAAAATTCAGCATCTACCTAGTTGTAATTTTTAACTTAGTCTTTAGATTTCTTTTATTACATTGTAATTCTGTTTTGGATATGCTATAGTTGTACTTTTGAAAGAAATTTAATGAATTAGTCATTTGTTAGGTATATGTTTCTGTCCCTATGGTCTAGAATATAGCATCTCTTACATACCAAATATCTCTTCACATCAATCTAGTTTTCCTTCATAGCAATATAAAGCATTGTCACAGAGATTCCTGATATTTGTAGAGCCAATTAACTGGCTCTACCACGGAGTTACTCAAAGAACTTAGTTTTATTAGGGTAAATGCCCCCAAATCTAGCTATAATTGTATTATTTTGATATTTGATTATTTCTGGAACTTTAGTTTTATACAAAATTTGAATATTTTTAGGTAGAAAGTGATATTTTGAATACAGCAAAATTCCTTTCTATCCTGGGTAGATAAGAAACTGTATATGCTGGATAATTGAATATTCAGAATTATGGATACCATCTAAGAATTTCACAGAATTAGAACGCAGTAAAACATCCTGGGGTAAGACTGTATCTTGCACAATACTTAACATTTTTCTGACTTGGAAGGCACTTTTGGATTTTTCTATTGTTATATTTGTGTCTTAATTGAATTTTCTGTTTTCTTCCCTTTTTGATGGTTTAATCTCAACATAAATGGCAATGTATTAGGTGAGATAATGATCGATAAGTAGATGTTTCTAATTCTAAAAGAAGAAATACCTTTGAAAAAGTTGGCCAACAGATGGGTTGGATCAACAAGTATGTGTTCAGCAGTTCTCATTTTGATAATTTTAATCTTTTTTCTGTCTCAACCAATGTGAGCCCTTGTCTGTGTGCCATTAAGGATACAAATGAATAGTATAGGCATGATTCCTCTCAATCTTTAAGAAACTTAAAATGCACTGGGAGAGGCAGACAATTAAAACATGGGAAATAAGTAATATGTGAACGAAGTGCTTAGTAGGAGAAATTTATGGGAACTAATAGGGATGATTGAGTTAGAGTAATTGTGAAATGTTATGACCTAGATGTAGAGAGATTACACCCCCCCCCATTTTGATTTGATTAATAATTTAGTTTAATATATGTGGATTATTCTAATAAGTATAAAGTCAGGGTTATTCATTTCCAATCTCAAGGACTATTTGTACTGCTTTAAATTTTATTGTTTTTAAAGTGCTTCTTTCTGTCTAATTTGGTAACAAAATTGTTATTTTTTTAATACACATAATTAACTAGTGACTTTGGTGACTTTGGTTCACAAAGTGTTTTAAAAGTTGGCAGTCTTTGCATAAAATATGAAACGGACTAGGCCCTCATTCCCACAAGCAGTAATGGCTTCAGATAGAATAGCAGCTGCTTCCCTTTTTTACATGGGGTTTGCCTGTCAGTTCCTACCAGATCTACTTTATTTTGCCTACCTAGAATCTGTAGGCACTTGAAATTGCAACTTCTAGAGTTCATAGATCACCCAGTTTTCAAAGCAAATAATTCAATACAATGCCTTACTGTATCTGTACCAAATAAAGCTCAGCTTTGATCCAGAGGGTGCTCTAAGATAGTCTCATTATAAAAATCAGTTGTCAATGCTAATACATGAAAGAGTTGGTAATCAAGACTTCTAATTGGATGGGTGCATAATAAACCAACCCTTAAAACCAGAGTGATGTTTTTCTGCTTGACTTTTGAGATTTCACTTTATTGAATGAACTGTTCTTTTCCAAAGGTAAGGAATATACTTAACAGTAAAGTTAATATATATATATATATTTTTTAATACACCTTTTACTGATTTCAGAGAGAAGAAGGGAGAGGGGGAGAGAGAGATAGAAACATCAATGAGAGAGTCATTGATCTGTTGCCTCCTGCATGTCCCCCACTGGGGATCGAGCCCACATCTTGGGCATGTGCTCTGACGGAATAGAACCATCATCTCCTGGGTCATAGGTTGATGCTCAACCGCTGAGCCATGCTTGCTGGGCACAGTTAAAGTGAAGCATAAATTAGTAGTTTATGCTAGTAGTATTGCAGAGAATAGAAGATAGAAAATTGCTTATCCTGACAATATTTTTTAGCTTCTTAATTTGCTTTTATTTTCAAAAAATATTTTTCATTTTATATACATTTTTATTTACATTTATTTAAATTTATCTTTATTGTTGAGAGTATTACAGATGTCCCCCTTTTTCCCCCATCAACCCCCTCCCCAGGCCTTCACTGCAGTACATTTTAGATTATGGCTATTCCTTGCTAAATTTTTTTCAGTGACCTTTTAATATATATTAATGACTAGCACTTTCTGTTTCTAAAAACAAATAATTTTTAACAAATTATTAACAAAAGTAAAAAATACATTTATATTACAACTGCAATTTTACTAGAAAACAAGTACATTATTTCCTGAAATGTACTTGTTTTCTAGACAGGTTAATTCTCACTGTGGATAATTTCAGGAAGGAGTCAGAGGTTATAAAAATTCACCCAAAATACCAATCTTGTGCTCTTTTTAAGTGAGCACCTAAGTTTGGGTGCTGACTTGTAAATAGTTAACTGTTACCATTGATAAAACAACTCATGTTATTATTTTGACTTTTGATTGTATCTTTGTGTCAGAACATTACAGTTGGTTAGGTAAATATTACCTTATTTTGTTACTATGCCCTACCCTATGTGTGATACAGATGTGACCCAAAACAACAGGGCCAGTGGTGAGATAACAACCCATAATTCCAGATTGGCCGGAAGAACAAATGATAAAATTATTTTTGCTCTGCAGTATTTCTTAGGTCAGTTAAAATGATGACTGTGCCACAGAACTAAAGATTCCTGATTTTATAAGGAATAGAGCATCTAATAAGTTTTAGTACAGGTGTGCCTCAGAGATACTAGGAGTTGATTCCAGTTCACAACAATAAAGCTGGTATCACAGTAAAGTGAGTTGTAATCTTTTTGCTGGTAAGAGGTCTTGGGTTCAGTTTGTTTAAAAAAAAAAAAATTACATCCATGAAGTGTAATAAAACAAGGTATGCCTATACCATCTGTGAATAATGTAACCTTTGGTAGCCTGAGCAAAATCAGCTACAAAAACCATCTGAAATAATTGGTTGTTTGGTATTTTATTGGTCCATAAGGGTTATTTTTTCCATTTATGTATTATGTCATTTCCTACAAAGTCTAATGATACATAAATAAAAACTCTTCCCTTCAGTACCTTACTCTTTAAGCAGCTTCATAGTCTAGTGGAAGAGAGAACTATAAGTAAATAAGTTGTAAGTATGTTGGGCACTTGTAACTGTAGAGACCGAGGTATAAGAGAAGGGCAGCCAGCAGATAGGCCTAAAGGGAAGGCTATATTTAGGTATGGTTCTGCCGATGAAGATAAGGACTCATGTAAGAAAATTTCAAGTAGGGAAAAGAAATATAGTAGGAGGGAAAAGGAGATGTGACACTTTTATGTGCAGTAAAGAGAGCATATTTTGGTGGAAAATTAGACTTAACCGGGTTGGTGGGAACCAGATAAAGCACCTTGTATGCTTTGGAGTTAGAACTTTATCTTGAAAGCTGTGCTAGATTTCAAGCAAGGTAATAACTTGTATCTTAGGACCACTTGAGCAATAGGGTGAAGGATAAATTAGAGGGCAAAGTTGGAGTAAAGGCAGGAGTACCAGAAGTAAGTCATGGTAGATAAAAGATACAGTAGTCCCCCCTTTTCCATGGGGGGTTGATCTTCCAAGACCACCCAGTGGATTCCTGAAGCCATGGCTGGTGCCAAACCCTATATATACTATGTTTTTTCCTATACATATGTACCTATAATAAAGTTGAATTTATAAATTAGGCACAGTAAGATTAACAACAATAATAAAATAGAACAATTATAACAGTATAGTACAAAAGTTAAGTGAATGTGGACTATTTCAAAATATACTGTATTTGCCTTTTCATGTAAAAGCCAGTACTTTTGGGCTTTTCTTTGGCCTGTCGAAATTGCTAGCATCACTACTTTTGCCCTTTGGGGTAATTATTAAGTAAAATAAAGGTTACTTCAACACTAGTACCATGATATTGTGACAGTATCTGATACTAAGTGACTGATGGGCATGGCCTGGACAGACAGATGATTCATGTCCTGGGTGGGACTAAGTGGGACAGCACACTAAGAACTGAGTTCAATTTAAAACTCATGAATTGGTCATTTCTTGAATTTTCCATTTAATATTTTCTGACCATGGGTAACTGAACCTGCAGAAATGAAACCACAGCTAAGGGAGGGATCACTATAGTAAAATCTTAAGCTAAGGTAATGGTGGCAGTGGGCACAAAGGAGAGTAGGATAACTCGAGATTTTTAAGGATCATTAAAATTCAGTAACTACTTTGAGGAGATATGACAGTCAATGATGAGATCCTAGTTTGTGGCTGTACTGTTGTGAGTTGAGTTTTGGACACGTGAGACATCCAAGTAGAAATAATTGTAAGCATTTGAATATATGTGCTGGAATGAATAACTACACTAGAAAAAGACTCAAGAGTTACCAAAATAAGTGTAGGGGTGAGGAGATAAAAGCAGGAGATGGATCTTTGTGAATATTAACATTTTAGGGTTGCCATAGTGGAAGAAGAGTACAGACACTGAGAAGGAGCCACTTGGATTGATTGGAGCAAAACCGGGGTAGAAGGTGTCTAAAGCAGAAGTCCAGTATAAATTCTGGATTTCTAAGATTTGGGTCACTTTACTGACCAAAGCATCCCTTTCTTTTTTTCTTTGTTGTATTTTCTGTTTGCTGACAATTTATGGTAAATTTGATACAGAGCTTCAGTTTTTAAATGATATAATTTAGTTACCTCTGGATCTTGTGGTTTAACAGTTTTTCCTTTTTGATTGGTAGAATTTGCGTGTTAAATTGTAACCTTGAAATATTTTCATCTCATAAATTCTTTTTTCTGAATGAGATGAAATTTGGCTTTGCCTAAATCCCATCATTAGATTGTCTTTATTCAGAAGCAGTCAGTTATAGCACTTGACTTTGAAAAACAGAATGAAGGCTTAAACAACTTTTGGACTTAGTTTTTATAAGAACTTTTTAGGATCATCTTTAAATTGTTAATTGTATACAACATAGACTTAGTACAAAAAGGAGGGAGTTTGAAGTAGGAAGGACTCAGTTTAAATAGTTCTTTTATTTCCAAATTGTATGTTTCTTCGAACTTGATTCTTCATCGGTAAATTGACCTCCTTTAAACCCCAGGTACACCATACTCGTTTTCCATAATACCTGTAACATTTCTCTTTGCACGTCTCTTTACCAGACTGTAAGCCCATCAAGATAAGAAATTGTTCTGTATGTCCCTTATACATACCAAGTATATAGAAGGGAGTTAGATTAATTCAACCAGTATTTAATTATTTTATAGAGGGCTGGGGGTTAAATGAGCTATATTAACTATCAGAACTGTAAGAGTTTTTATTTGCCTAACACCCAGAATTGGCATAGTGAAAAACTCTTTTTAAGGCTATATACAGTACATACTCTAATGGAATGGGTGTTGGTAATAACTCAGTCACTCGAAATTTTCAAACACATCTTTGCCTATCCAGGGCCAATTAAGCAATTTTGGATTTTCTTTTATCTTAAAATCCTAAGTCTGTCACCACTCTTTGATTGGTGTTGGATCGGTGGTTTTCATAAGATCTGGATTTGCATCTTGGTTCTGTGATATACTGTTTGTACACAAATTACTTCTTTAAGCCCCATTTTATTGATCCATAAAATAGGGAACGCAGTGGTATCTTTTTCTTGTATTAGTTAAATTAATGTAAAGTCCTAACAAGTAGTTTAAATGTTGCTTCATACTAATGTATGTAATATTTAATTGCTAAAGGAGTTTTTCATAATCAAATTTTAATAAGCAAAAGAGCAAAGGAGAAAGAATACTGCTATAACTTGAAAATTTGTATCCTGTTAAAATGTAAAAACAAATCCACATTATTTTCCAAATCTAGTAATCCTGTGTATTGATTTGCTATGGAGAATTCAGTATGCTTTTGAAGGAAAAAAGTTTCGTGGTGTTAAATGAGAAGTTTCAGGGGCCAGTTGGAATTAAACTGTCTTTAAACTATTTGTTTCTGTTCCACTTCTGTTGAAGGTAGTTGTATGTTACCTGCAATAGCTAACTTTTTGGTTTGCTATTGGCCAGAATTGTATAAAACCATTTGTGTATATATGGCTATCATTCTACAAATGTAAGGATTTATTTTCAAATTATAGTTTGTTACATAATGTATGTAGATGACTTTTTTGCTAAGCATACTTTTCCTTTATAAGAATCGGGATCTAGAACACTTGTGTTTCTGGATAATTTTTAAAATTCTTTGGTGACTTAGTAAAATGGGATCTAACTAAAGTAGGATTCATTGTTCTATAGTAAGTTTTGATTGTTTTTCTTTTAATACGAACTGAATTTTAGATAATTTAACCTTTTATTGCAATGTAAATAGGTAATGTTGTTTTGTTTTAGAGAAATGCTTAGAAAATAGAAGTGTTATGTATGAATTAGTTAGCAGTAATATTTTAAGTATCAGTTAAACATTTTTTTCCCCCCCCACAGAATGACAGCCCATATCAAGGCGGTGTATTCTTTTTGACAATTCATTTTCCTACAGACTACCCCTTCAAACCACCTAAGGCAAGTATTTTCCCCAAAAATCTGTTAGTATAGATTTATGCTTTATTTCAGAGTAGTAGAGCATTCTTAAAAATAAAGAATAGATGACAGATGTCAGAGGGGATAGGGGTTGTGTGGCATTTGAGTTTGCATACATAACTGAATAAATCTATGAAAACCTAGAATTACTTAATGCACTGAGGTGGACTGGTTTACTAGTATCAAAGCAGTTGACAAGATTCAACTTAAACGAATAACTATAGGACATAATATGCATATAGAACAATGACAGGTCACTATAACCATCTTTGTCGATTATGGGTGCAATATGACATTTACTTTAGATAAAATACCTATGTAAGAGTCAAAAGTATAGACTGTATTTTATGTACAGTGGAAATGCAAACTCAAATACATACCTTTGTAACTTGATACCTTAAATGAGCTGGTCTATAAATTTTGGTTTACAATCAGCAATTCCTTTTATTATTATTTTATGTATATATATTTAATATATCTTTATTGATTTCACGGAGAGTAAGGGAGAGGGAGAGATAGAAACATCAGTGATGAGAGAGTCATCATTAATGGGCTGCCTCCTGCACTCCCCCAACTGAGGATTGAGCCCACGGCCCGAGTATGTGCCCTTACCAGGAATTGAACTGCCATCTCCTGGATCCTAGGTCCATGCTCAAGCGCGGAGCCACGCCTGGCGGGGCAATTCCTTATTTTTTAATGAATGTTAAGATAAAAATACCCTTCAAATTGCTCTTTGATGCTTATGACATGGTAGGACCAAAGTTAACCTTCAGAACATCCCACTTATACCATTGAGGTTATATTTTCCATTTTAATTAAAAAAGAGGGAGCTCTTGAGGGATCTTGGTCAGAATATAAAAACTGGCTTCTATTATTTTTGGTCTTTTATGTACATAAATTAGGTTTTAGCCATTTGATTTTTTAAAAATTGTGACAGTATTTTAAGCCTTGCTAAAACTCTTCTACCTAAGTTAGGATGCTTGTTTTTATTTGGGAGAAATACCTAAAGATTTTTTATTTATTTTAGGTTGCATTTACAACAAGAATTTATCATCCAAATATTAACAGTAATGGCAGCATTTGTCTCGATATTCTAAGATCACAGTGGTCTCCTGCATTAACTATTTCTAAAGGTAAACTACTTGAGAGGAATAGTCTTGAACTGCTCTGATTTTCTAATAGTTAAAGGAGTTTCAGTTTTGGGCATACTTGTCTGAGTATTATGTCAACTTTTTGGTAAGAGGTGGGGAAAGAGTAAGTTATATCATCTTTGCTCTTTTAGGAGTATGGACTAAAGAGATTTTGTGGGAGGAAGTTAAAATTCAGATTAGGGTGTTTGGGCATTATTTTCAAATAAAGCAGAGTTTAATTTCACTATTTTTCATTCTCAAACCATTTGCACATCTCACTTCCTTATTGTCTTTTTTTTTTTTTATGTATTAATTTTTTAGAGGGAGAAAGAGAGGGATAGAGAGATTGAAATATCTATCATCTACCTCCTGCACACCCCCTACTTGGGATCAAGCCTGCAACCCAGGCAGGCATGTGCCCTGATCAGGAATCGAACTCATGACCTCTTGGTTCATGATTCGACTCTCAACCACTGAGCAACACCGGCCAGGCTTGTCTTTTAACTAAAATAGTATACTGAAATTTAGTAGAGCTTTTAAATCTTGAGGTTTCCATTGCAGAACAATTTTGATTTTGCTCTCTTGTGTTTATTGTTTGTGTTTTTAGATAAAAAGCATTTTGATAAAACCTTTAGTTACACCTTTTTTTAAAAACTCCTTTAGGTAGGTATTATGTGAACGTGTGGTAGGTTGTTTCTACTTAATAACAGTCTAAAATTAGAGAATCATCTTGGAACTCTCTCTAGATCAGTTCTGCTCTTCTACTTTTAATAGGGATTTATTATGTGACATCTCTAATAGGTTTTCCAGTCTTTACATGAATATCCCAGGTGGAGATATGGAGTGTCTGTCCATCTCTACCTCCTTTTTGAATAACTCTGGTGGCTTTTATGTCATTTTCACCCCACAGATAAAGTCCCTTGCCACAGAACTACTTAATGCGGGGGAAGTCTGCCTTGAAGTAATTTTCAGTTTGTGATATTGGCTTGGCATTCCTTAGGTACACCAAATTAGGTTTTTAATGTTGTGAGTATGGTAAATACAAAGTGAAACAGGGTTTAAGGCAGGGTATCAAATTTTTTCATATATTTGTACAATGCATTTGAATCTCTTTATGGGATGGTATGGCATTTCTCAAAATTTTAACTAAAATCACTTTTGCAGGAGAGAAAAACAGTATGGGTTAATGCTGCCTTAGTTTTTTCAAGTGTGACATAATTTTAGATTTGTTTTCACCCTCTGGATGCATTTCTGTTTCTTTCAAATTAGGCTCTCTTACCTACCAGGTACCTGGTATTATGAATACCTTAAACACTAGGTTCCAAGTTTTTTATCATTGCCAGGAATGCACTATTATATTTAACACTATGTTTCCTATAAGTACAGGTTGAGTTTTATATCTGCCCTCCTTGCACTTGGGTTTAAAATTACATTTTCTGTAATAATATATTACATTAATGTGTCTTTTGTGGTGTTATTTTTTTTGTCTTCATCTGAAGATTGTCATACCCAATTTCATGACACTTTATACAATGTCTGGCACATCCCAAGCATTTAAAATGAATTAGATGCATGATCCATGATGCTTGGCATCATTGTCAGTACTTTTGGGTATATGGCCTCTACCTTATAAATTCATGGCGAGAAAACATATAGTCAGTGGAGCAGTTAGGATTTTTTGTGAAACAACCTTGTGGGCAGGATAGAATAGATTTTTTTTTTTTTATTATGCTGAACAGCTAAGAATAGTATAGTATGGATGTTCCCCAAATATTCTTATTAAAGCTATTTTTCTCCCTCAGAGTACTAACAAACTTCAGTGACTTAAATTCTGATGCCACTTACTTTAAAAAATAACAACAGTGGCATTATTTGACTATCTCGGAACTCCTGAGTTTAGCAGTATTTTTATAGCTAGTACTAAACTTGATCCCAACAATGTTCTATTTTTAGCATTTATTTACCAGGACCTTGTCTCCTGTAAAGCAAAATATCTGTAAACCTTTGTCTCATTGAGATGAATATATAAACTAATAAAAATCTTTTGAGGATTTAGGTTTATAATATATGTTTTTAACTGATTTCTAGTTTCATACTGTTGTGGTCAGAAAAGATGCTTTATAAAATTACAGTCTTGAATTTATTGAGACTTGTTTTGTAGCCTAACATGTACCTATCCTGGTAAATGATCCATGTGCACTTAAAAAAAAAAAGTATTCTGCAGTTTTGGGATGAAATGTTCTTAAATATCTATTAAGTTCATCTGTTTGTAACGTGACATTTCAGACCATTGTTTACTTACTGATTTTCTGTCTGGATGATCTATCATCCATTAATGTAAGTGGGTATAATAGTGTTTTCAAATACACTTAAAAATCCAAATTCCTGATGCTGGGTAACCACATTTGTTTTCTTGCAGTTCTTTTATCCATTTGTTCACTGCTATGTGATCCAAACCCAGATGACCCCCTAGTGCCAGAGATTGCACGGATCTATAAAACAGACAGAGATAAGTAAGTATGTAGTAGTTTAAGGAAATAATATAAAGTCCTTTTTCTTAACAAGTTAGGTTTATACTCTGCTGTAAGTTGTGGCAATGCCAAGAAGACTTGATGCTTATTTTTGGTAAGATAGTAATTAGTAGGTTTTAGTTTTTTTGACAGTGAATAGCCCCTCTAAAATGTTTCCTTTTTCTAACATGTTCAACACTTTGTCACTTGAATTATTAAGTTTTGGAGAAGAAGGCAAATTCTTCACTACAATTATGTTTTTCAAAAAAAACACTGGTATTGTAAAATTTTGGTCTACATTTCTCAAATATTTGAATTATTTTTATGTACAATTTTACCATTATAATTTTTGTATTATAATTAATGCTAAGTATACTTGTTCAATTAGGTACAATAGGTTAGCAAGAGAGTGGACAGAGAAATACGCTATGTTGTAGGGTAAGAGGATCTGCACTCTGGTGCGCTTATTCATGGTACTGCCAGCACTTGAGTGCTGCATGCTTTAAGGCACTGTATTAACTAACAAAAGGTAACCAATGTGGCAATTTTCTGAAAACTGTTCGTTTAACTGCTTGATCTCTGTTTAGCGTGAAAGCATACCCAGTAGTCATTGCTTGAGAGTATTTTTGCATGACAAAGCAGTTATAATTAGCACTAGTAAGAAATGGAAATTTAAGTATCTCTTTCAAACATCCATGGTGTTTAAATTTTAATTTTAAACATTATACCAATACTATATGGAATGTGATGATGTAGTTCAGATTTTGCTGAGATAATAATGTAAGGGAGAAACTTAAGTCTAAGCATTTAAACTAAATGTTCATTACTGACATGCATGCATTAGTGTCAGCTCTACTTTGTGGCTCCCTGTATGCTTAAAGAAACCTTCGTTTTAACGTGCTGGCTTTTTGAGAGGGTATCCTTAAATAAAGGTAACCATGAATTGGTAGAAAGAACTTCCATATGTTAAAGTTGAGAAAAGTGCTTGAACCATGCTTAGTTCTTGGTTTGAAATGAAGCTAGTTAATACTTTATAAAGTTCAAACTGTCAATATCTAAAAGTTCTCCTGTGCCCTTTGATATATATTCATTTCTTAAGGTTATCATTATATTTTTTGTTGGTAAGTATGACTATGGCATGGGTATAACAGAGAAAGTGATAGTATTTATCAATATTAGTGATTGTCCTCAGTAATAAATAACCTTGCTTGTGTGTGAATTACCTATTGATCTTTTTAAGCAAAGATGCTTCCAGTTGTGCCTAGAGATTCCCACTCATCAGGGCTCAAGAGGGGCTTGTTATCTCCAATCACCACACTATTTAAAAACACACACATATAGTTCTTATTAACACATACCACTCACACCCACCTCCTCTTGGAAAAAAGTACTCTTACCACCCTTCCCAATGTCTTAATCTTTTGCCTGTGCCTAAGTCTGAAAGGCATTTTCTCTTCTGGTATTACCCAGGGCCAGGTAACTTCTCAAAGACTAGGATTCAGATAAAATGGTTTGGTTAACTGTTTTGTTCTGGCTTTGGTGGAAATTTCTATAGATGTACGAATGTGTGTGCTTTTCTGACATTAACTCCATGGCGAATTGTAAAATAATTTTTTAAATGTTAAAATTTGTTGGAATGGATACTAATTGTAGATTTTCTAAGAGAACATTATTATTATTAGCTCAGTGGTAGGGGAGATAAAAGGTCTTTGATTATTTTTGTTAGCTTTCACAATCTCAGTGCTACTTTATTGTGTTTGTTAAAATACTACTATAGTGTTTTGGAAACATACGGTTCTCATTTTCCACAATCCTTTGAGTACCAATACAATTTTTCCCTGTTGGCTTTATTCCAGTCATAGCCATTAGATGACTTTATGATGAGTCTGGAGGTAAAATAGAAGTCTTTCCTTTTAAGTATTCTTTATTTTAACTTTTTAAATAACATACTCTTTATTTACAGGTACAACAGAATATCTCGGGAATGGACTCAGAAGTATGCCATGTGATGCTACCTTAAAGTCAGAATAACCTGCATTATAGCTGGAATAAACTTTAAATTACTGTTCCTTTTTTGATTTTCTTATCCGGCTGCTCCCCTATCAGACCTCATCTTTTTTAATTTTATTTTTTGTTTACCTCCCTCCATTCATTCACATGCTCATCTGAGAAGACTTAAGTTCTTCCAGCTTTGGACAATAACTGCTTTTAGAAACTGTAAAGTAGTTACAAGAGAACAGTTGCCCAAGATTCAGAATTTTTTAAAAAATGGAGCATGTGTATTATGTGGCCAATGTCTTCACTCTAACTTGGTTATGAGACTAAAACCATTCCTCACTGCTCTAACATGCTGAAGAACTCATCTGAGGGGGAGGGAGATGGATGCTCAGTTGTCGCATCAAAGGAAACAGCATTATTCTAGCAGCATCCGTTGTTTAAGCCTTCCACTGTTAGAGACCTGAGGTTACATGATATACTTTATGCTCATAACTGATGTGGCTGGAGAATTGGTATTGAATTTATAGCATCAGCAGAACAGAAAATGTGATGTATTTTATGCATGTCAATAAAGGAATGACCTGTTCTTGTTCTACAGAGAATGGAAATTGGAAGTCAAACACCCTTTGTATTCCAAAATAGGGTCTCAAACATTTTGTAATTTTCATTTAAATTGTTAGGAGGCTTGGAGCTATTAGTTAATCTATCTTCCAATACACTGTTTAATATAGCACTGAATAAATGATGCAAGTTGTCAATGGATGAGTGATCAACTAATAGCTCTGCTAGTAATTGATTTATTTTTCTTCAATAAAGTTGCATAAACCAATGAGTTAGCTGCCTGGATTAATCATACGGGAAACAATCTTTTGTAAATGCAAAGCTGTTTTTGTATATACTGTTGGGTTTTGCTTCATTGTTTGACATCAAATGATGATGTAAAGTTCAAAAGAGTGAATATTTTGCCATGTTCAGTTAAAAGTGCACAGTGTGTTACAGGTTGACACATTGATTGACCTGATTTATGCAGAATTAATAAGCTATTCGGATAGTGTAGCTTTAATATGCTGCACATGATACTGGCAACCCTGGAGTTCATAGATGGACTTGGGACCCAGCAGTTTTGAACATGTATATGGAGTTTAAGAAATTTATTTTCCAGGTGCAACCCCCATCTAACTAAATTTTTTCTTCACCTTGTACACTTGACAGCTAAAAACATAACATGGGAGTAATTATGGGTTTAAATTTACAAAATAAAGTACTGTTTGGTGTGGGAGTTGTCATGAGGCTGTGTTGAAATGACTTAACTATGTGGGATATTGAGTATCCATTGAGATGGGTTTGTTCAGCCATTTACATTAATGAGCATTTAAATGCAACAGATATCATTTCAGGTGACTTAACATGAATGAATAAAAGTCAATGCTATTGGATAATTTTTCGTTTGACAAGTGCTATGTGTACCACTAATTTAACTTCTGTAGTAACAAGGGCATTATCATTCTTCACCCTTCCTAATTCTGACCATATAGTTTTACTTCTTTTTTCCTAGTTATTTTGATTTGCCCATTGCTTTCTTACAATCCTGTATTCAATTTCTAGCACGTCTGACTTTTCTCCACTTCCACATTTTTGCACTGCTTACACTTATGTGCAATCTTACTCCTTGTCTGCACAGATGTGGAAAGCTAGATATAAAATAAATGTTAAAGCTTGATTTTTATAAACATTTTAATATGTAGTTTGGACATGATTTATTGACTAAGGTTCTCTAAACTGGAAGTGAAATGCATGCCTTCCAAAAATGTTCTGGCTTTGTTAATTCTGTAATAAGCATTTCATTGAGAAATATCAATCTAACTACAATTTTCCAATGAGTGATTTTTTTTTTTTTCCTTCCTTAAAAATTGACTCCTTAAGGGTAGATGTCATACTGTTAAAAACTTTTGGGTTCAAATTACAAATGAGAAGTTAGTAACATTGCTCTACAAGCTAAGATATACTATTCTTTGGCTCTGTTTTCAGAATAATTATGAGAATCATAGTCTCAAAATAACAGCTTTATTGGGCATATCACTATTTGAAGGCCAGCCATCAAAACACCTCTGCTTCTGGATTGCTAGTTGGCTTTCAAATTGACCTTTTTAGCCATAGACAACCCTTTTAAGTATTTATAGAGATGACTGACTTAAACCACTGATTGTTAAAATGATTAGATGTGCCCTGTTCTCTGTATCTGACTTGATGCTTTCTATAACATTTCTGTGTCACTTCTAAGGGAATAAGCCATAAAGGCTTCTCCAGGCTTAAGAGAAAGTTACCTGGAAAACCCAACATTTGTGAATGTATGGACACTGGACTTGAGATCATCTCCAATGAAAAAGAATCCAAGAATTTGCCCTTTCCCCCATATACATTACTAGTGCCATGTGTAGGACTCTAGTGAATATTAGCAGATTAAAAAATGATTTTGGTTCTTGTATATTTCCTATCTCTTTTAATGCACAAACTCAAATACTTAGTTTCTGTTAACCTATGGGAATTAGTCCAGTGGACTTGCTAATAGTAAATTATATTGTGAGTAACTCTTGTTCCTGGGCAAGTTTGCAATGTGATAATCAGATTTTTAAAAAAATACTAGTTTGCTTGTGTGGGTGTACTCACAATTTTTTAAAGTATGAACCACAGTTAACTAGTGGTCTCAGGGGTAGTGAACACTCACTTTTTTTTTTAATGGCTTAGTTGATATACGCTTCAGATACTGATTATGCTGTATTAGTGATTTGGGGGGTGACTCAAATTAGCCATGTTTTGTATTGGCATAACAAAACTGTTTAATGATTGTTCATTACACTTTTAAGTGAATTTGTCTTCTATTTTATGAGGAACCCAGTGCAAGTCACTAAATATTGTCTAGTAACATCTGCATAACACTTGTAATAGCTAAGGTTAATTGAGCTTAAAGGAATTGTTACCATTAAAGTCTGTTTAAAGACACTTTCGTCTTTTTCAGTAATTCCAGCTAACGTGAAATTCACACTTTAACCTAATGCTGTTTGTAAGTTTTTTTTTGAACTTAGGAGTTAAAACTATAAAGAATTTAGGATAGTGGTTCTCAAAAGTGGTCCTAAGACCAGTAATACCAGTGTCCTTTGGGAAACTTTTTAATCCTAGCCTGAGGATATGTTTTTATTGGTTTTAGAGAGAGAGAACCATTGATCAGTTGCCTCCCTAACGTGCCCAGACTGAAGATCAAACCCACAGCGTTTTTGGTTCACAGGACTACGCTCCGACCAACCAAGCCATCTGGCCAGGGCCATTTGGGAAATTCTTTACAATGGGAATTCTCAGATGCCACTACAGGACTACTGATTCAGAAACTATGGGGTGGCACCCAGTAGCCTGTTCTAAGCAAAGTAGATCAATTCTGAAGTCTGTTCCTAGCTCTCTCCCTTGTAACAATGCAATAATCCTTGGACCCTATAGTTATTTTACAACTCTTGCTGTTCCATCACATTAAGAACTTGTTATGTTGTATGCCCAAGTACTACATTTCTATATAATTGACAAGTATGTAATATTTTGAATTATAAATACTGTAGGTTGATTTACACATTTAAGGTAATGTTAATATCCTACAATTATCTAATTTGAGTAACAGGTGAAAACTGTGACATTCAAATTCATAACATCTTTTGGGGGTGGTATATGTAATTCAACCAATAGCCAGGTAGTACTAAAAGTGAGCAACCAGGTACAAAAGTCTGCTAAATGTTGGTTAGGTAGCTGAACAAGAATTTGAACCCTGGTCTCATTCTGTGGTCTCTTACATTAAGCAACTTGTGTGTGTGTGAAAAAGTAAGATGTCGTGTTAGGGGTGTTTGCAGTGTTACTGAAATTAACATTAATATAACCTAAGGCAGCTAGTAAAACCTATTTCAGCATAATGGGAAACAAATGGTGAAGGTATTTGGAAACAGCTTAAAAGTGTAACAGCCCCTCTACCATACTCCCCCCCCCC